TGCCCTGGCCCTCAAGGGAGCCCAGAAGCAAGAACCAGCTGCTGCTTCTCAGCTTCCTGGTGGCATCCACAGGTTCTGACAGGGTGGCAGAGCGACCCGGGCTGCTTTTGTGAAGGCTCTCTGTGGGCTGAGGAATGGCTTTCCTGGCAGTGGCACCTCCCACTGGCCCCAAGTGCTAAGTCACAGTCTTTGTGGGCTTTGGGGGACAAATACGGGCAAGACTAAGTGGGGGTCAGAGGTGCTCCTGAAGCTGAGATTGAGGAGGGTTGGGGAGCCAGTGTTGTCCTGAAGGAGAACCCCAACAGGATTTCATATTAGTCTACTTGGTTGCCTAGGGAATTCCTGCAGACTGAACAGCCATCAGAACACATAGCTTCTCTCAATTTAGATGCTGTAGTTGGGATTCAGCTCAGCCAGTTTCTGACTCTGTTGCCTCTGTGTCCTCATGTAGTCTTCCCTCTGTGTGTGTAGAGAAAGTTCTGGCAACTCTCTTCTGAAAATACAGGTTCTGTCAGATTAGAGCGCCACCCTTACAATGGCATCTAACTTTACCCTGGATGTTAGTTTTCCATCACTATCACAGATACCTGAGATAAACAACTTATAAAGAAAAATGGTTGATTTTTGGCTCAGTTTTGGAAGTTTCAGCCCACGACTAATTGGCATCATTGTTTTGGGCCTGTGGTAAGGCAGCACGTTGTGATAGGAGTACACAGAGAGGCAAAGTCACCCACTTTATGGCCAGAAAGAGGGAGAAACCGAGGTCCCACAAGGCACACATCCAGTGACCTAAAGACCTCCCACTGGGCCTCACCTCTTAAAGGCTTCACCACTTCCCAGTCTCACTACAGGGTATGATATGTGCCTTTGGGGGGAACATTTAAGATTCAAACTATAGCACTTTTGAAAAACTCAAACTCTAAATACAGTTGAATTGGAAATTATGGCTTTAACACATGCATTTTGGTGGCACAAAACCAAGTCCACAGCTGACTCTAAAAATGATCATGCTGCATAACTTGGTCTTCCAGGGACTGTCTGGAACAAGGATTCTCAATTGTGGTTGTGAAGGCCCCATCCCTAAAGACACTTAATTCAATTGAAAGTGGGATCCTGGAATTAATGTTTTAAAAAAGTATGCCCTACCTTTTAAAAATGATGTGCCCATTGAGAACTCCTGAATTAGACAGCTGGTCATTCAACACATGCCTTTAATCCTTTGAGCTCAGGCAGAAAGTGACAAACTTTGAGAACTTTGGGGGTGATATATTTACAGTATGACATTTAAAGAACACAGACATTGTGTAGTTGTATGGTCCTATCTTTACATATATGTTGCATTGCACAGAACCCTGGAGGCAAATTGTCCCTGTGCATTAGTTCAGAAGTGATCTTGGCTTTCCACTGGTGGATTTTCTATACCATGAGCTGACACCTTCATAATGCCACTCTTCATTTACTGTCTGGAGAAGCACCTGATATTTTGTATGCAGTTTCTATAAGACTTGCCACTTATATCCACCCTACCTAAAACCTGCTTGGTCTCTCAGCTGTTCTGTTTTTGTTAGTAGTATGTGTTTGTTGTATATTCATAATAGGGAATTTGTATATATGGTAAATTTTTTCCCATCCCCTCCCCCTGCCTACGATCCTGCTTCCACTTCACATCTACAAAGCTGCATTTCCATTTTCCCTTCCATTCTTTTTTGGATCCCTTTTTCCCTCCTTCCCTTTCCCCTCCCACTTCTCTTGTTCCCTTTCCCATTTAACCAAGTTTTTCCTATTTCCCAATATCTGTCCTCCACTTTGCTCCTTATGTAATCTTTGGATTTCTCACACCAGAGAAACAACATGGCTTTTAAATTTGTATGTTATATTTGTTTCACTTAAAAGTATGGTCTTGAGGTACAACGATTTATCTAAAAATGTCATGAGTTTATCCTTCTTTTTAGCAGAGTTGTACTCCATTATATATGTATTTTCTTTATCCATTCATCTGTTGATGAGCATATGAGCTGTTTCCCAGATTTAGCTATCATAAATTGTACTGCTACAAACATGGGTACGCATATATAAACTGTGGTAAGAAACTTTAAACTCTCTGAAAGAGGGGAATACCTGGGTGAAGTGGAACCTCTAGTGTGACTTTTTTTTTTTTTTTTTTTTTTTTTTTTTTTGGTACTGAGCCTCAAACTCACAACCATGCGCTTGCCAGGCAGGCACTTATGCTGCTGAACTATATCCCTGGCTCTAGTTTTACTTTTTTTGAGGAATCTCTATACTGATTCCCATGGTAGTTGTACTAGTGTACACCCCCGCCAACAATGGCGGGGGGGTTCCTTTTTCCCCACATTCTTGCTAGCATTGGTTATCAGCTGATCTGTTGATAATAGTCATTTATTCAGGAGTGAGACAGAATATCAGTGTTTGAATTTGCATTTCTCAAATGACCATTGATGTTGAACATTTTTATATATTTATTCTCTGTACCTCTTCATCTGAAAAGTATCTATTCATTTTGGATGCCCATTTTTAGAGTAGGTCTTTAAATCAAGAGTGTGTGGTTCTTTTTTTCTTTCTTTATTCTAGAGACTAGTCCTTTATCTGAGGAGTATCTGATAAACTTTTTCCCATTCTATGAGTCGTTTTTTCACTCTGTTGATTTCTTTTGCTGTGCAAAGCTTTTTAATTTGATGTGATCCGAGTTGTTGATTCTTTGTAGTATTTCCTGTTTGATCAGATTTTGTCCTTAAAGTCTTTACCCATACCCATGTCTATATTTAGAAAAGTTTTACTTATCCTAACTTCCAGAAGATTGTTTAATATCTAGATCTTTAATCCATTTCAATTTTCATTTAGTGCATGGTGAGAGATATGGGTCTAGGTTTAATCTTTGGCATGGGGAAAGCAAATTTTCTCAGCATCATTTATTAAAGAGGCTACTTTTCTTCCAGTAAAGATGTTTGGCCTCTTTGTCAAAAATAAAGTACCTTAGTGTTCCCAGCTCTTTCTTAACCACCCAGAATCAGAATACCTTTATCAAGCACAGGCCTCATTCACTTCAGCCCCTTCTGGGAATTTTGAGTAGAGGAGCATCAGGGTTTATTTATAGAAAGCAAGAGGCTCAAGAGGTGGGAATTCAGGGGTATTTGAGGGTACTCCAAGTGAATACAAAGGATGAGCATTTTACCATTCCTTTAGTTCAGATTTTGTCAAGTGGGCTGCACCTAAATGGTCAAGATGAATCAGCCAACTCATATTTTCATTCCCTACCAAATTATGGAGGAACCATTACAAGCCAAGACCTGTGCTCAAACAGCAGCCTGGAGTTTCTGGGAAGTCCTAGGAGAGATCAAATGGACACCAAAAGGGAGTTCATGAGAAAGGCCATTTACAAGGCACAAATAGCCATTCTTTTGTTTTCCAGGGGCAGAAACCTATTGCACTATAAGTGAAGAAGGAATTATCTCAGGATGAAAGAAGTCCAGGAAAAAGTTGCCTTCAAACACTGTTGGATCCAGATACGAAGTATCTTCATTTGTTTTTTCCTTATCTCTTGACGATTGACTTCATTTTAGAGAAGACACCTCTTGTGATAACTGGAATATTTTATATGAACACTTTCCTTCAACTAAAGTTGTAGAAGTGAATCCTATGGAGACAAAGTGCTAATTCTAGAGCTAAAAAAGAATGGAGGAACAAGAGGTTTGTTCTACTTAACCGTATCACAAGGGGCAGGGGACGTGTTTCCCAGTTGGAAACCCAACGGCTCTTACCAAAGGAGAGAATGACTGCTGGCCATGGAAACCATTCCTCACCATAGCAGGGGAAGGATGCCCTGGTCTCCCAGAGGAAATGAGAGGAGGCTTCCCAGATGGGCCCGTGTTGAAAAGGAAGTTAACACCCAGTAGGACTTTTTGTGGGAGGATGAGAAGATTGAGAACAAGGACCCAACTGGGGAGCAGTATGAGCAGTATGAGCGGTATAAATGCTAATCAGTGACTTCCGATGGGAAAGTTCTGTGTGATCAGCCTGTTATCAGGCAATGGCAGGTGTCCCAGGGAGGACAGTGCGGAGTTGAGCAGGAGAAGTCTGAGTTCACCTCAGCACACTTTTAGTAATGCTATGCTTTCCTAAAAATGAGCAGAGCAATTAAGAATCTATTTTTAAGTGAGTTAAAAATCACATCACTCTTTGATTAAAATCACTGTCAGGTGCAGGGGTGCGTGCTGATAGTGTCAGCTACTCAGGAGGCTGAGGCAGAAGGAGTCCTTGAGCCCAGCCTTGGAAACATACCAAAACTCAATTTCCTTAAAAAAGAAAGGAAGTCCTATAGGGCTGAGAAAGAGTATTATTTACCTTGGGGTTTAATTTTGAGATAAATTTGCTTTGTCTGTTCTTGGATTTTTTTGTTGTTGTTGTCTTTTAACATGAAATGAGATGGGAGAGACCCTTACCCTTCTTGCAGCTCCAGTGAACTCTATGTGAAAAAAGAGAAAACGACCTCATTGGAGGCAAAATGTAATAGAAGGAAGCAAGACAGAGGCCTGTGAAACAGAATTTGAAAATTTTAAATTCAATTTAAAAATTGAAATAGGGCTGGCACAGAAAGGCAATTAATAGAAATTTATATTATGAAAACCACAAGCCCACAGCCAGCTTCAGCAGCAGCCTGCGAGCATCCTGGCACATCCAACTTCTTCCTGCCCAAGGCTTCGCAGAGGTACCATGCTGTCAACCGCTCCCGAGATTAGAACCAGAACCCAATCCGCCACCCCAGGCCTAGAAATGTTCCCAAAACTCTTAAAATTCAAAAATTCTGAGTGTCCCTACGTGAAGCACCTAAATCCACAATAATGTGAGTAGTGATTTTTATTTTACTGTCAAGCCCTCCCTCTTGAACTGATTCTGCATGGGAAGCAATTTCAGTAAACAGTAGATACCCAGAGCCATTATTATCCAGTCCCCACCCTCAGGGACTGAAAAGAACCAGGCAGAGATCAGGGAAACAAAACCACCACAACTGACCTTTATTCTTGATTTTTGCCATCACTTTTATGCTTTCTTATTTTCTCCTACATGTTAAATACATAAAAACCAAAACTTTATTAATATACAAATAAAGAAAACATGCGCAGCATGTAAGCACGGGAGGGAAAGAGTCAACCGGGTGGCTGGTTGGTTTTTGCCCCCAGGTGTGAAGAAGGCCTTTGCGGTAACAGAGCAACTGTGCTGGGCATTTTCCAGGGCTCTGGGTCATTCCCAAGCTGGGCAGCAGCACTGACCACTTTGGGTTAAGGATGATGAATAACACAGAAGAGTTTCTGTTCATACCAAGGGGCAAGGCTGCCGTTTCATGTCTTCTGGAGACCTTTGTTCTTTTGTAGTTCAGTAAAAGTATGGACAAAGTTTGGAATCAGAAGAAGCATTCATAGACTCCAGAAAGTTCGATGGTGGATAACTGATAACTCCCCTTGATGAAGCAAAAAATGTGCAGAATGTTTAATTAATTCCTTTCCCCAAAGGGGAAGAATACTTACATTTTTAGTTTGGGTTAAGTAGCTGAGGCTTTACAGAGGGGAAAAATGTCATGGGAAAATGGAAAATATTTCTAATGTCTATGGTACATGAAATATCTAAGAGTAAAATATTAAAGGGCAAGAGGGAATATCTGTAAAAAATTATAGCACACATGTTGGATGAAAACTCAAATTATGAGATTAAACAGTTGTGTCATTGAAATAGCACTTAATGTAATATAAACACAAACATTCCTCCTCAAATTCAGCTTCTCAGGGGTTTGACTTCAGATGCCTGAGCATTTTCCACTTTATCACTGGATCTATTATTCTTGATGCGAATAAACACAACTGCTAAAATTATACCTGAAAGAGAAAACTCTGTGTCAAATAAATGGACTCTTCAAGTGTATTGTTAGTCCCTTATATAGTAGTATCATGCTAGGACAAACTGACTCAGAATTTTATATTTATGTATGATTCAACCAAGTTTTGTTGTGCTAGTGAATTAAGGGATACAGGTACTGGCTTTCTTGGAGAAGTAAGCTTATCACTTGTCATTGGTTGGTATGTATCAAGTCCCAAGTCATTCTTAATCTTACGGCTGTCATTGCACCTCTGCCATGGACTTTAAGACCTAACGTCCTATACCCATTGACTACATAAGCACTGACAAAGTTCCTGAACTTTGTACATATTCAAATATTGATTCTCCCCCCAGAACAGTCCAATCAGAACCACCAGAGAGCAGTTCTGGTCTATTCACCTTCCTAAGGCCTACTTTCATTGTGTCCGCCCCAAATCTACATCTTCTTTGATAGCTTCCTAGTGGTTCCAGCATCCACACACTGTCGAGTGACCCTGAGTAGACTGCCTGAGTTCTGATTTCTCCTACCAACATTACACTGACTCCTAGCACTAAATATGTGTTACCAAAGCCCACTGTGAAAAGCAGAGTTGAACTTATCAGCAAGATCATAGGAGGAATCATCACAAAGGACTGGTTGCCCAAAAGACCATTAAGAGTCTTTTAATAATCCCAAACTTATTCTGAAAAGAGTAGGAAACTGTAAGATCCTATTAGTTTTACCTCTATATATCTCCCCACCCATTCACTATTTAATTTATGAGGTTAAATGAGATGTTTAAAAAAATAGCTACTTGGTATATAAACTCAAAAATCCTTTCAAGATGGGTAGGCAAAAGGATAAAAGTTATAGAAAGGAGCATGGTGAGTGAATGGAATCTTAACCACTTGAATTATATGAAAGGTATGTGGTATACGGTGGTTCTCAGGGAGGCAGGACATCGCCATGCATTTAGGATGTGTAGCAGCCATGTCACAAAGGCCCTCCCATCCTGAGTTTGAACCAAAGGGTATAAAGGAGACCCCATTTCAACCCATGAATTAGAGCCCCATGTGACAGTTTCAATCACACAAGAAAAAAAAAAGATCCAGGAGCTGGGGATTTAGCTCAGTGGCATCAGTGCCTTCCTTGCAAGTGTGCAGTCGTGAGTTTGATCCCTGGTACTGATAAAAATGAAAAAGACAAAAAAAATAAAAAAGATCCAAAGAATGCTTAAATACAATAATCAAGAATACTTAAAAGGAAATTGCATCCTCTCTTGTATATTCCCAGATATCAGATAAATGACTTTGCTTTGCCATGTGCTGCCTGCCGGACACCCACAAGAAACAGGGCAATCAGGGGCCAGACCCTCTGAAACCATGGGCCAAAACAAACAATACAAATTATTTATCACAAGTATTCAATAGAGTAAAGAAAAAGTGACTAACAGAAAGCTTCTTCAAAGGCAAAGCTAGGTAGAGGTGGTTCTTTGGTATAGCAGAGTAGTGACTGTGGTGTAGTGGACTGGTGGTCTGCGTCTTTGACTAATGCCTTGGTCACCATGTGAGCAGCCACCATACCAACCCCTGAAGACGGGTCCTGACATGAGCTCACATTTCTGAAGCCAGAGATAGGAATTCTCAAAGTCGAGACATTATACTCACCAATGACTAGCAAAGTGGTCAGGAGTGTGCCAACTGCCATACCTACAGTGGGAATTCCCTCTCTTCTACCTGCTGGCCGGAAACAACTTCCTTCCACACAGGTGCAAAAGGTAACTAAAAAACAGAAGAGCACTTAGTAGGATCAATTTTCAGGTGAATAGTTGCAGAATCCCGTATCAAAATCAGAATTCCCTAAGACTTCTTGAGTGACAGATACTAACCTAGGTTGCCTGTAGCAAAATACCTACCTGGTAAATTGACTGTCCCTTCCAAGGGTGGCCACCCCTGATCATTGATGCGGATTGGAACTGTATAAACTCTCTCCTCAAAGTTTGTGTGCTTGGTGGAAAGTCTGGCAAAAGAGCCTGGCAGAATATGGAAAGCATGAATGACACAAAAACCCAGATTCAAACTCCTGGATCAGCAGAAATAAAACTCATCTTTGCGTTATATATTCAGGCTGACTGGGAAAGGGTTAACTACATGTTAAATTACTCAAAATGTCACCTGCATCCTTCCATGTAACTCCTCATATTGTAAACAAGGGCAAAACTCTCAATTTGTGATATCTTGGTGAAAATAAATACTAAATACTAAATTTAGTTATAACTATTCCCAGAAGTTATTCATAACTTTGCCCCAAATGTTGAATTAGCAAATACTAAACCTTTGTTTCTATGGTAAATATAGGGTTAGTCTCATCAGGCACAAAATTTGGTGGACACATATGCTTGTTTCCTGTGTGTTTCTCTTTAAAGATGCCTTATTTGGCATATATTGTTAATTCTGATCCCAGAGTCAGCAGCCCTAGAACACCTGCCTGAACACAGCTGATCTAATATTATTTTCTCTGTAAGGCACATTACAGCCTTTTTGCACTTGGGAACACTAGAAAGCACTGCACTAAATCTCAATTTCTGAAAATAGTTTTGATCTTATTGCAACTCATTCTTCTGATACCATCCCATAAATGTGTATTCCTAGAATTTCTCCAGAATTTGGGGAAAGGTTTTCAGATCTAAAAGTTATGGCTTACATTTGTTGTACTCCTAGAAAAGATACACTAACAGGGATCAGGTTTATCACCCCATCAAAACCAACTTGAGAAAAATACATGAAATTATGGTTTTGAAGACACTGTACGTTAGATAAAGGACAGTAATCCCTGAAATAAGACAAAAGATGCAAGTTCCTACTACTTGTCTAGGTCTAGTGCAGAGCCCAAGTTGAGGCATCAGAGCTAGAATATGAAGAAGTCAAGACAGCCAGAGCGCAGAGGAGAGAGCTCACATAGACACTGTACAGATCTGCCACGTTATTAGCTGAGCACAGGGCAGAGCGTGTACATAAGGGACCTACCCAGGCATGCGAAAACAACAACCTGCATGAGCAGGTAAGCAGAAAAAGCTTCGGTGTTCACAAAGGGCCAGGAACCATTCCTGTCCTGAGTCGGAGTGGAACATCTCCCAGTTCATGGGGCATCAGGTACAGATCACAAACAGATTTTTGGCCCCAGCAGTGAGGAAAAATTAGCCCTAAAATAAATGTTACTCTGGCCTTACCTAACCAAATGTAAAAACAGTGAAAGCATCAACTATTTCCAAGTAACTTAACTGCATTTCAGAATAAGGTTCTAGGGGCCATGGATTTAACTCAGTGGCATAAGTGTCTCCCTGGCAAGTGCAAGGTCATAAGTTCAATCCCTGGTACCCAAAAAAAAAAAAAAAAAAAAAAAAAAAGAACCAGAATAAGGCTCTAGGGGCAGGGTGTTTAGCTCAGCAGTACAGTGCCTGCTTGGCAAGCACAAGGTGCTGAGTTCCATCCAGTACCAAAAAAAAAAAAAAAAAAAAAAAAAGAAAAGAAAAGAAAAAACAGAATAAGGCTCAAAAATATTTCAAGAATATTTATGGGGACAAAAAAGATTTGGCATTCCAAATGCCTACCATTTAATTAGAAAATAAACATGTCAGAAAAAGAAAAATCAACCAATTGAAACCTATTCAGAAGTGACATTAATATTTATCAAACACAAGAAAATTGTGTAGTCATGCGCTATATGTTCAGGAACCTAGAAGAAAGATTTAGTGTGCTAAGTACAGACATGGAAGACATAAAGACCCCAGTTAACATATAGATTCACTCACATCATTATGAAAATGATAAAATTTGATATGAAAAATTACTAGATGGAATTAATGGCAAAATAACAAAAGACAAAAAAGCCATGAATTTTTTTTTTTTTCCGGTACCAGGGATCGAACTCACGACTGCCTGCTTGCAAGGCAGGCACTTATGCCGCTGAGCTAAATCCCCAGCCCCAAAGCCATGAATTTTAAGACATAGAAACTATCAACAATAAAATACAGTGAAAAAATGAAATGAAAATAAAAAACTCCTCATATTGTAAACAAGGGCGAAACTCTCAATTTGTGATATCTTGGTGGAAATAAATACTAAACACTAAATTAAGTTATAACTATTCCCAGAAGTTATTTATAACTTTGCCCCAAATGCTGAATTAGCAAATACTAAACCTTTGTTTCTATGGTAAATATAGGGTTAGTCTCATCAGGCACAAAATTTGGTGGACACAGGAAACAGATCAAAGGGATTAAACAGATCAAGGGATTGAACTCACTCAAAAGGAAACAGATCAATGAGGTTTAAGAAGACCTCAAATGACTTAATTATGTGTAACTGAATCCCTGAAAGGGAAGAAAGAGTAGAAAGAGGAAAGTATTTGAAATAAGACCTAAACGTTTTTGCAAGTATGATAAAAACTCTGAACTCTCAGACTCAAAAAAATTAACAAAACTTTAAGCAAAATTACATCATGGCAGATAATCAAGTTTCTTAAACTTATTTTAAAAGCATCCTGGGGGAGGAGGGACATTACTTCCAAGGAAACAAAGAAATGATGGAAGAAACAATGCAAATAAGAACATAGAATTATCTTTAAAATCCAAAAGAAATGTCTCAATAAATTTAAAAGTAGTTCAGCCATATTCTCTGGTCACAATAGAATTAGAATAAGACAGACATAGGATATACTCCCCAAATATTTGGAAACTAACACTTTTAAATAATTCATAGATCACAGAAAAAATATAAAGGGAAGTTAATTATGAGCACACAATGTCAAACTTTCTGGAATGCAGCCAACTAATACTAAGAAATAAATTTTTTATACCAAGTGCTTACATTTATAAAGAAATCAGGTCTCAAAGTGTCTACCTTACTAAAAATGAGAAAAGGACAAATGAAACAAAACAAGATAAAAGAAACAGACTTGGTCAATGAATGTAAGCAGTAAAGCAACGAAACCAAAAGCTGGTTCTTTAAGAATATTGATAAAATCAATAAATTCCAGCCATGTTTATCAGAAGTAAGGAAATATAATTTACCAGTACCAAATTCAATGATAGCACTCCATGTCTACAGATGTTAAGAGAATAAAATATGACTAATTGAATGTCAATAGAATGGTAAATTATCTGAAAGATACAAGCTTCACAAACTTGAAGTTCCATAAAAAAAAATTATAGTTAAATACGGCTGGGGATTTAGCTCAGCGGTGTAGGCGCCTGCCTGGCAAGCACGAGGTCGTGAGTTCAATCCCTGGTACCAAAAAAAAAAAGAAATTATAGTTAAAACTTCTGACACATACACACACACACACCTTCAAATTCCAATGGCTTCACTGGTAAATTCTCTCAAACTAAAAAAGAAATATACCAATTTTACACACATTCAAATAATTGAAGAGGTAGAGCATTTCTTAATTCATAAAGCCAATATTACTCATACTAAAACCAGATAAAGACATAAGAAAAATACAGGCCAAGATCACTTAAGAATTCACATGTAAAAATTTCTTGGAATTTTAAAAATCTCATAATAATATAACAATGATAATATTTCATCATCAAGTAGCCCTTAAGATTTTATGGAACCAATATAATTTACCAATTAACAGACTAAAAAAATTAACCATAAAATTATCTCATGAACACAGAAAAAGTACTTTTAACATCCATTTCTGATTTAAAAGAAAAAAAGTCAGCAAATTAAGAATAGAAAGTGTAGTCTTCAGCATAGTAAGATGAACTACAAGAAGCCCATCCCTAACATGCTTCATGGTGAAAGGCTGAATGCCTTCTCCCTAAGATCAGGAATTAGTCAAGTACTCTATTTCTGCTGTCCCTACCTCTACTGACTAAACAACACGCAAGTACATTGGAAAGGAAACAGCAAAACTGTCACTGTTTACAGATACCATGATTGTCAATGTAGAAAACTCACAGAATCCAAAATATGAGAACTAGGAAGTGAAGACAGCAAGGTTATAGGATATAAAATCAGCATTCCCAAATCATGAATAGATTCTTATATGCTAGAAATATTTGGAAATACAAATCTTAAAAGACCAGTTAAAAGAGCATCAAAATATAAAATGCTTAGGGGAAACTTTGCAAAAGTAGATTGCTGAGAGAAAGTAAGGCGGAGACACACACCATGTTCATGCTCATTTTCATGTTTAGAAGACCCCCAACTCCCATATAGATTCAACAGCATCCATTCACAATCTCAGCAGGCTGCTTTTGGTAGAAATGAACAAGCTAGTCAGGGATTTAGCTCAGCGGCATAAACACCTGCCTGGCAAGCACGAGGCTGTGAGTTCAATCCCCAGGACCACCAAAAAAAAAAAAAGAAGAAGAAGAAGAAAAGAAATAAACAAGCTCTACTCTGAAATATGGAAATACAAGCCACCTCAGAGTGACAAAAAATTTTTGAAAAAAGGAAAAATCATGCTACCAAATATCAAGTCTTACAAAACTTACAAAACTTACAAAACTTACAAAACAAAGCAATGTAGCATTGATAGGAAGACAAACATAGATCAATGGAATAGAAAAGTTCAGAGATCCACATATAAGGTCACTTAAGTTTTGCCAAAGTTGCCAAGACAATGTGAAAAAGATAATGCTTTAAATAAATGGTGTGAGGAAAAAGAAGCCATATTTTTAAAAAAATCAACCTTGATTTTACCACACATCCTATACAAAAATTAACTTCAATTACAGAACTAATGTAAAAGCTAAACCTATAAAATTTGGGGGAACAAAAAACCAGTAAAAATTTTTAGTGACTTTAATTTGGCAAAAAAATTTTAAACATTTTTTAAAAATCAGATTATACAAAATCAAGTTGGATTTTAACAATTTTTTTAAAAATTTGCTTCTTAAAAGACACTAAAAATGAAAATGGAATTTCCTAGGAGAAAGTATTTACAAAAGATATATTGAACAAAGTATGTATTTTTAAATACATACTTACAAGAGAAGCTGAATAGCTCAGTTTTTAAAGGGAACAATATCTAAACAGACATTTCACCAGCAGAGGTGTGTGGATGGCAACCAGCACATGAGAAGATGCTTAACACGTGAGTCTTTAGGGAAATACAAATTAAAGCCATAAGATACTACTGTTCACATCTGAAGGAATAAACTTAAACTGTGTATAGTAGTGTCGGGGAAATACAGAGCAACTGAAGCTCATACCTGTGGGAAGGTACAATGTTTAAAAAAAAAAAAAGTTTGGGAAGTAATTTGATATTTTCTTAAAAATTTGTCCATACACTTGTCATACAACCTGTCCATTCCACTCCTTCATGTTTAACCTTGGAAAAAGGAAAACAGCCTATCCCTACAAAATACCCATTCACAAATGTCCACGGCAGTTTTACATGTAATAGCAAAACTTGTGAACACACTAAATACCATGATTGCCAGGCAAGTGGTAACAGATTAGGACTCAGTCATAAAGAACGGAGTATTGGTACATCCAATAACATGCCTCAGAATAATTATGCTAATTGGAAGAACCCAGGAGAGTATTTACATAACACTACTGAAAATGAAAACTAACTGATAGTATCAGAAAGCAGGTCAATGGTTGCTTAGGGAGAAGGGAGGTGCAATAACATAAGAAAAACTTTTAGGCACAGTGAAATATTCATTAACATGATTGTACTGATGATTTCTGTAATTTTTCCATATACCAATCCTTACGTACTTGTATACTGTGAATGTGTAGTATATCTGAATAAAGTATTAAGACTTGTGAAATCTGTTTTCCAGCAATCACTGGAAATTTTGCACAGAATGCTCAGCTTAACCAGCTCACTCTCTACATCACTGAAGGGAATCCTGTGTGGAAACTACCTTTCCTCTCTCCACAGCCGGGGGCTTCGTCCCTTTGGAGACTTTATATAAGTTTCCTTGAGCACAGATGAAAGCCCAGTGTTGAGTTCTGTAACACAAACCACCCCATTGCCTAGATACATAAAGCCTAACTTCATCAACCATCAGTATTTCTCTGGATGTACTTTTGACAACCCACCATTGATTCTGTACACTTCCCAGTCGTTCTGTAAGCTTTCACTGCCAAGGGAAAATGAAAAGTGAAAACCCCGCAGTGTCTGCTGATCATCATCCGTGGCCTCGAACACCAGACTTCCTGGGGTCCGCAGGGGGTGGCAGAAGAACAAACCCGTGTAGTCCCTGGCCAGCCGTGGGGCATTGTCATTCACATCCTTGAGGGTCAGGTGGAAAAGTGATGTGGAACTCAGGGAGGAGCCACCTGAGAAATGGAATGATTGAAACATGGTGTTGGCATGTTAATACCAAAGAATATTTTTCTTTAAAAACAATTTCAATATACAAGCACTTAGGTCTATTGAGATAGTAGAAGTCTTAAGGGTCAAAGACCTCATTTTATCCCTAAAGTCTTAATGAGAGCACTAACAAAGATCTATAAACTATTGCTTCAAAACTGCTGCCACGCATTCACAGGTAAGATTGGAGCTCAGAAAAGTTGCTTGATTTCCCAAGGTCACACAACAGTGAGAAACAGGTTTCCACGCCGTGAGGTCTAGCCAGTGCTCACATTCTCCATCATGCCTTACCACTGCCTTACAAATGACAGCCCAGACCCTAAGCCACCTTTCTCCAGCTGAAAAACGTGGCTTGGTGAGGGTCCCAAATATAACTGAATGTTCTAGAAAACAATAAAAGGCTGCACAAATGTTGCACATTATACTATTGTGGGGAGAACCTTATAGTGTGATCTTGGCAAGTTACTTAACTGCTCCATGCTTTGGTTTCTTTCTTTACAAATTTTGCTCAGTAATAGAACATACAGCAAGCACCGTATGACCAGGAAGTGGTCGCACTGTGTGCGTAGGGCAGGCTGTCAGTGCAAGCAAACACAGACTATCTTCTCCTCAGCGTCAAACACTCTTCCTATAATGTGACTCTGCTTCAGTTCCTGTCAACTCTGTTTTCTTTCCCAACTGTTTTCTGACTACTCTAAACTAAAGGAGAAAATCCACTGGGTGTTCTTGAAGTCATTTTGTCTGTGTACATTATTTCAGGGCCAACAACTGAAAATGGACCTGTGTTTGGACAGCGGTCTTGATTCGTCAAACTTCTCACATATGAGATGTGCTTTGAATGTGTCCACAGAGAAGTGTTAACCCCTGTGGAATGACACAGGGCACATGCAGCATGGAGGCTGAGCCAGGAACGCCCTGCTGATTAACTGGGAGTCTTTAAATCATGAGTTAAGTGTACACAATGTGAGAGCAGAATGCATTTGACACATCTCGGCCAGCCCATCCGCTCACACTGCTGTTTTGAAACTGGCACCACAGTTCTGTATTTCAGCCTACTTTGGCTTAACTTGACTGTGGTAACTTTGTTTTTCTTAATCTTTTTATATATGGGGAACATTTTTTAATTTCCTTTTCTGTTCCCCATTCTAGCCTCCAATAAGTTGTTTTTTATTGGTCTAAAAGTACATATATTTATTTAGTAATTTGTTCAATGTTTTTTTCTTGGTAAACCAGAAATACATCTACCAGCTTATTAGAACCTCTGATCCGCTTAAGATCAGCAGATATCTACTACGGGTTGGAAAACTATTTAAATGCAAAAAAAACTCAATGTTTTAATTAATAGCCTTATCACTGGTAAGAATATGATTCCTGCAAGCTTATTTTAATTTGAAAAATTCCCTGGGACTCCACATTCCGAGCCATTGGATAAGATATTTCATCACAACTGAATTACATGCAAGGATTATTCAAACATCCTGGGCTTACCTGTGTAATAGTCTTTTCTTTCCAAAGCTTACCCTATTTCATCTAAACCCAGATGCCCAAGTCCCTGAAAACCTACAGAATCAGAATCTCCATGAATAGGCTCCTGGGATCACCAGTGAGCAGGCTCGCCAGATGATTCTTACACATATCAAGGTGGAGAACTCTGCATAAAACTTTTCAGCTTCCAAAAGGATAGAACTGACAGGACTGCAGGGTGAGGCTCCAGGAGCAGGCGGGGCCCAGAGAGGCTAGGTCACTGGGCACTGGTTTGACCTTGCTCCCAGGAAAAACCCAAGATAGACCATGCTGCGGGAGGGAGGTGGCACAGATACAGGCACTGCAAGATTCCTGGAAGAGGCAGGAGCTCCTTCAAAAACACCACAGAGCAAATGGCACCCCTGAAACCTGGCCAGCCTCCGGGCTCAGAAACAACCCAGCTCAGGACCACAAGTAATTCTCATCATTCAGAAAACCAAGCGTGGACTCTGCCCCATACTTGTGTACCTTTCCCATGCTCCTACTTTTTTTTTCTTTTGTCTTTTTCCTTTTTATCGGTACCGGGGATCGAACTCACGACTGCCTGCTTCCAAAGCAGGCGCTTATGCCACTGAGCTAAACCTCCAGCCCCCCGACCCACCCATGCTCCTACTTTAAAGCAGCTCCACTCTGACATTTTGACTTCAAGTTCCTCACCCACCCTCTCGTTTCTACCAGTTTGCCCATCATAACACATGTTCCATGATTTTTGCTCACCTACTTCAGTGGCCACCACTTGTACCTGATACACATGTTCGGTTTCCCTGTCCAGGGGAGCCTTGCTGAAGATCTCACCAGTGGTGGGGTCAATTCTCAGCCAACCTCTTGTGTCATCTCTCAGGGAATATCTTCATGAAAAGATAACAGAAGAAAGCATACGTTACCTTATATAAAAACAAAATACAGTGTGCACATCACAGCATTTGTATATTACAACTTATTTAAAAGATCATTATTTCATGGTAAATTTTTATTTTCACATCCTCTATCTTCCAAAGAACCTGTGCATCATTACAATTTAGTGTTTATGCTTTTTTATTGGAAGGGTAGAGTCACAAACTCTACAAGAAAAGCTAAAGTTTCCAGAATATCAAAGAATCCAAATTAAAGCCATCTGGAAATATATTTAGAAACCTCTCAGCATACTCCCCCTCTAAGAAAACCTAAATTCTCAGAGGTAGACACCAGGTAAGACAGGTGGATAATCACAGACCATGGTGGCTTAGTGAATTCCTCATCCAACAAACAAGAGTTGAATGCTTAGTTGCACAAGGCAGCAGGCCCTGCGAAGAGCTTACATAGACAGGCCCTCGGGCCTGGAGAAGAGACAGACATATTCAGATAATGTCAATAAAAGTACGGCAAATACTTGGGTCGGGTTGGGCCCTCCAGGATCCTTGCGACATTAATAGGAATCAGAGATGTCTTGCTGAAGAAGTGTTATGCAGGCATTGAGGAGGCTTAAGGCATCCTCCTTAAGCAGAAGGAGGTGCACGAGCTGGAGCAGAGAGGCCAAGGGACAGCTCGCTGGGTGTAGTCACACACTTCAGTGGTGTTGGGAGCCACCTGAGAAGCAGTGGATGGCAAAAGGCACAGCAGCAGAGACCTGAGGAACCAGACCCCGAGAGGGAAGAGGCCCCAGGGGTGGGGTAAGCAGTACAAGGGAGCCCAGCCATATTTGTGCTTTCAGTGGAACTCGGCAGGTACGTGAAGCATGAACTTGAGACAAGATTTAAATACCAGGAAAACTAACAGACTCGGCCCTTTGGGAAGCACCCCATTATGGCCAGAAAGATGTCTGTGTCTTTAGACTCAATATTCCAACTCTGGGAAATTTTACCTAAGTAAATGGATATAGAAGTTACATATTACATGCTTACATACACTCAAAATATTTTCTGTGATAAATACGGGAAATAAGTTACATGTTCAGGAAAAAAAAACAATTAAGATTATACTATTTAAAGTAATTTTTCTCAGTTGTCATTTTCAGTATATAGCTCATGCCAAGCATTGGGTATAGCAGTGTCAGACCAAAAAAAAAAAAAAAAAAAAAATCCTTTGTGCTCAGGCCTTCACCATGAAAGAGGAACTAGCCTTTGGAAGGCTTTAGAAGTGGAGTCGGATAATCTAATTTGCTTTTACAAAAACTCACTCTAACTGCAGCGTGCTGAATCAACTCAGAGCCACATAGGGATGGCAGGGTCCATCCAGAACAGAGATGTGATGGCTGGGACCACACTTGGTGCAGTGAGCAGCATTTGGGTTCTGGATACCTCGGTGAAACAATGCATAATCTCTGCTGATTGATTCTAAATATGTAGAGCTGGAGAATGAAACTGTTCAGGCCAAAACTTTGATGGCACCCTGAATTCTTAACTGACGTGCATCTGGGCTCCTTGGCCATGCCTCTCTCCTGAGATACTTTTTCTGATTGGTCTTCCAGAGCTGTGTCTACGGGAGGCCTCTTCGCAATCCATCCTGCCAATCTCATCTGCTACCCGCAGCTCACAGATGTACGCATTACATCTTTCCCTTGATGGATCAAAGAAATGTCCTGAAATGCTTTTGTTTTGTCCACTTATAAATTAAAATTTGGGAGTGCCGTTTGCAGACTGCAGGGGGAGAGAACCAGGCCTCACAAGAAGATGATTCCTACCTGGAAACCATATCATTTTCATTTTTCTTGGGTTGGGTTTTATTCTCTTTTGTTTTGTTTATGTTAAATCCAATGGCAGAAGCAGCTATTTAAAAGATAGCAAGATATATTATGGCAGCCGTTTTGAATTTACTATTAGCTTACTTTGAAGTCCTTTATTGCATTCATTGTTTGTTTTTACTTTTTCTACTCTGTTCTGTTCGAGTTTTACTAGGTCTGAAGGTATTGGCAGCTATTTTGAAGACAACAAAAGACATTATGGTAACTATTGCTGATTTTGTAAGGTTTTGAAGTCCTGTATCCCTTACACTAGTTTATTTTGATTGGTTTTATTGTTTTCTTTTCCTTGCTTTTATCCTGTTTAAAATAAAATAAAAATTTGTATTCACATATTTTTGACCAATAATTTTAGATTTTTTTTTACCTCCTTCATTTTCACGAAGAAAGTAAAATATAAGCATGTTAGACAACAACTGGCTGTAGAACTTAGAGATTTTTATATCGCAACATAATTTATGACTTTGGTATATAGGATAGTATCCATATAAACAGTATAAACCCCAACCAGTCCAGTATTCTCTTCTTCTCTACTAGAGTAAGTAGAGCATAAAGCAGTACATGATAACTGCTCCTTGCTACAGTGTGGATTAGTTGAGTTTGGTCCCCCAGGGGACATGTATGGCCATGCAGGGAGGTGGGGCTCAGTGGGAGGTGTCCTTAAGTTAGTGGGGTTGCCATGACCTTGTGATGTAGGAAACTATAAAACTAAGTAGGAAGGAGACAAGGAAAATAATTTCTAAATTATACTTTTAAGAACACTGCGGCTTCAAAACCCAAAGTTACCGAAAGTAACAATACCTTTCTCCTTTCTAGGAAAAGCCCTCCAAAAAAATCTCTAAGGGTCCCAAAAATGCAACAAACTTGTAAATTGGGCCTGTGCTTTTCACTTGTGTCTAGCTGCCACCCACTCACAGCCTCATGTCGTCACAGGTGCTCAGAGGTGTCTGGATCTAGCACATGGGACACTAGGATCAAGGGTATGTAATACTAAATTAGTCCAGTGATTGGTTTGGCATAGTTCAGGGCGGGATTAAAGGGGCCCAGCTGGGAGTGAGCGCTGTCTGCCCTAAAGCAGGTAGTCTGGACAAGACATGAGGCAGAAAGGGCTGTAGATTGTTGCATGTTTGCCGCCTTTGCCTGCCCTTTTTTTGCCATGGACCATTCCTCCTCTGTGAGGTCCCTCCGCCATGCCACTGGCCTTGGTGCAGCCGACTATGGACTGAAGCTTCGATGAAGTGTGAGCCAAATAAACTCTTCCTCCTTTAACTTTAGGTGTTGGGTATTTTGTCTCAGCAATGAGAAAAGTAACTAAGACAACCTGTAAACTGAGCCTGCACTTTGCCTCTGATACCCAGATACAGATTCCCAAAGCCCAGACTTTCACCCTCAAGGAAGCAGCATTATCTCCGCAGCTCAAACCCATGCAGGTGGTTTGCACTCTCACCCAGCCCACCAGATGGGTAACCTGACAGACAGGAGGCACACACAACCTAATTCAGCCATTGAGGACACCCCAAAGACCACATAGAACCTTGAAACCCGATCATCTGTACCCTCTCTTGAGAGCCTGCACTCTGTACTCTGAGTGTACACTTCTTTAACTCTGCCCAGGACAATCTCTCTATGCCTTTCACTGAGATGTTCCATAATTCTTTTCTAGCTTGTGGGTAAGGAAAACCTAAATCACTCTCTCATCTTTGGGGGACCTCTGGGACCATGCCCAGTAACACCCAGACCCCATCTGGTGATACTTGAATTTCCAGAAATGTGACCTAAATAAACATTTCTTTATTAAGTCACATATTTTACAATCATGATCAACAGACCAATATACATGACAATCAAAAAGACTTAAGACTAAAGTTTCTAAAGGACAGGGCAAGACTCCTTTCATATGTTTAGAGAAACTTAAGCAATTATCATTAACATTGATTTAAGCCATCCTGAAACATTTACTATATCACATGCCAAATAGATAATGTTGCACAATAGAAGCAAAAGATCTCAGTTCAAGTCCTACTTGTGCCCTTATTAGCTATAGAGACCTGATTTTATAGGTATCATACAGATATCAATATATATATATATGTATGTATATATATATATATATATATATATATATATATATATATATATCTTGAGTACACTGCACATTTTAAATGTCCGGTCATTGCATATTTTCAAATAATTATGTATGCATATTTTCATCCTACTGAACTGAAAAGGACTGGAAATATTTCCCCATTGTGCCCAGCCACCCAGCTTGAACATCAGCCCCTCCAGGTGTGGGCTGTGGAATGCATCCCACTGGCCCAGACCAGCTCTCCGGAGAGCCGAGCCAAGGGCACTGAGCCTCCTTCAGCCACAAGATGCCCTCGCCCTGCGAGTTGGTTCTGTCCTCCTGCCTGGGCCTGTGCCTCCTGCTGTCCGTCCAGAGCGCCAGTTCTCGCTGGGCTCCAGGAGGTTGACACCACGCCCTGACGTCACCCGCTCTCCTGGGCCCTGCAGAAGCGGCCTCCCAGTGTCTGAACGCCTGCTGGAGCCGAGGCCCAAACAAGACCCTGCTCAGACCGCCTGCTGCCCCGTGAGAGGAGGACCAGCTCCTCTACCTTCCCGGCCCTCTTCCTGCCCTCTGGTGAGGTCGCAGCACACAGGCTGCCCTGCCTGCGCTCTTGTACCTTATGCCCAGCCCTTCAGGATCCCGGGCAGTCACATTGCCCACTTTGGTGTTCACAGCCACGTCCTCCCTGACTTCTGCTTGGTAGACAAATTGGGAAAACACTGGTGTTTCATTCACGTCTGTCACCACGAGAACGAAGGTGGCAAAAGAACTCGCGTTGTACGTGACGCCAGGCACCAGAGGCTCGGGATTTTCTGCGTGGATCACAATTCTGGAAATAGGTGCTGTTTCAAAATCAAGAGGCTGTGGAGGAAAATAAAGTAGGGAAAAATTGATTTTGGAGTGATGAGCTCCTTTAAAAGATTTATTTCCTAAACACCTTTAAAAACTCAGAACAGCAGTTCTTAATGCAGTGTCAGCAAAATCTACTTCTCAGGATAATGGAATCGTGGAAAAGGTTCCCCCCCCCCACTGCAGGACTTATCAGAACTTTTAATGCACTGATGTACATTTTAACTTTCCTAAAAGAGGACTAATTATCAAATTAATTTAACCCTGGGACATTTCCTTAATTCAGAAGAAATGAATTAATTTCCTCATGACCATTCTCAAAGAAAAGCTTGGGAACTGTTTATACTGCAAATATCTCTGCATTTGTGTAGAGAATGATTTTCCATTAGCTATAGAAGACAAACCACAAAAATAAAATACATTATACTCGTGGAGAAATAGCTAAAGCATGGAAACAGCTTGTCTGCCAAAAGAGGGACAAAAAAATATGGTATCTATACACAATGGAGTACTACTCAGCCATAAAGAAGAAATTTGAGTGGTTTGCAGGAAAATGGATGCATCTTGACACAATAGTACTAGGTAAAATAAATCAGACACAGAAGATTAAATACAGCATAGTTTCTCTTATATGAGAGCCCCAAAATAAATAAGAGCAAAATGAAAGAAAACATAGATGGCAAAGGATGGAAGGAAAGAGAAATGGGACAGGAAGGGAAAGTAAAAAGGATCAAAGTGCAATACGTGTGTGTACCTACTGTCCGTGATGCATGCATTCATTATATGTCACAAACGTGTACAAATAAACATTGATAAAAAGCTCACGGAGGGTGTGAGAAGTAGGCAGAGATGACCAAAGGCAGAAGAGTTGCTCTGCTTCCAGCCCACACCACATGGAACCAGGAAGGAAAATCCAACAATCAGTATCCTGGCCTGGTGTGCATGCCTATAACCCCAGCACTCAGGAGGCTGAGGCAGGAGGGCACTGTGAGTCCAGGGCCAGCCTGGATGGCATAGTGAAACCCTGTCTCAAAAAGACAAATCAGTAAATAAATAACCAGCACTGGTTTAGTATGAGAAGCACTGACGAGGCTCAGCTAAGATGGAGTTACTTAAAACAACAAAGCAGGTTCCCAGCTCTGGAAGTTTTCAAGGTTAGACTGACATGTGATGGCACAGAGAGGGCTTCACTACCACAAAAGGAGCTGGTGCTATGGACCTTTGCGATGCAGAGTCCACAGCGGACCCCTCTGCCGGGGCCTGGCAGTGGGCAGCTCCTGCGCAGGCTCAAGGGCTCTCAATCTCTAAACCCTGGGGCTGAAATCTAAATGCTGTATACATGTGCAAATACGAATGCATAGAGAGAGGGCGTGTAGCTGCTATCAGATTCTCAAAGGGATTCATGACCTCAGAAATATGAGAGAGAAAATTCAAAGTGCCAAAGATCTATCATGGATAGTGGACGGTACACCCCTAATGTTCACTTTCCCTGTTCTGGAGGACCCAGGACTTAACCTTAGTTTATATCAGTTTCTCACAAATGATACATAAATGGCAGTATCCACCCATGAAGAGAGAAACCGAGGCTGGCTGCCTTAGCTCGGCCTTCCCTTCCTGACACCTGAAGGAGCTGGCTTGAGGCTGTCCTCTCCTCACTGGCCTCCCTGACCCCCGCCCTCTAACCCCAAATGAATGAGCTCCCTGTCCTCTGCAGTCCGAAGCCCCTCACCCAGGATCCTGTTTGGCTGTTTCCTTTATATCCTGCCTGAGAGAGGAAACACTGAGTTTGTTCAACGTCCTTTCCCATCTTCCCAGCGGGAAGATTGTTCCTAGAGAGCTCTGATCCTTGGAGAGAATGGAAAAAATCTGTGCCCACCAGTATAAAAGCATAACACCCTGCCAGCCTGGTGCCTGGTCACCCACTGCAAACTCTGAAATCTACCCCACATTATCCTTACTTCTGACATTGCCTCTGTCCACACAGACAGACAGGCACAGAAGTTGTAATGGCGCCTTTTCTAAGACTCAGATAAAATGCTGTGCTTTGAGCTAGTCATACATGGACCTCTCTGCTGAAGCCCAGGGAGACCCTCTGCACCATATACAGCAACACGGCGGTCACAGCCCAAGGTCACGCACATAAGCACTTATTTGCTTTGCCGTTGCCCACTCCCTTTGGAATGATTCCATTTTTGTCATCACTTTTAGCCTCCACTTCCAGCTTCCTGTATTCTGGCTCAAAACAGTCCTCTAGAACCTTCTTTTGCAGCCTATAGACCACTGCACTGCAATCCTTCCCAGTTAACCACACATGCAGATTCTCTACTGCTCCACCCCTCTCTGTCTGTTCTAACCGGAAGGTCCTACTCTCTCCCCATGGAAGGTGCTGGAGCTCTGAAATAGCATGGGTGACAAATGAGTCATGTGGGAAACCCTGTACACACTCTGAGCAGCTACGGAGAAAAAAGTCAAGGCTCACATGCATGGGGGACCAGCACGGGGTGAGGAAGGGTTAGTGCGATCCTGTGAAAAGAAATGGGAATTATGAATTAATACTTTGGTTGCAGGGCACCTTGTATGTAAAGAGACAGGGACAAAGCAAGAGCCAATGTGCTTTGCAATACTCGAAAGGTAACAGTAAGGGGAAGGCTCATCTACCTGAATTCCCCATGTGTGCAAAGGGGGGAGTGAAGCCCTGAGGCCCACCCCTGTCCTCCACAAAGATTGCCAGATTTAGCAAATTAAAACAGAGAACACCTACTTACATTTGAACTTCAGATAAACAACTTCTGGTATATGTGTCAATTAGTGCATAGAACATATATTATACCAAAAAATTACTCAGCCTGTATTTTATGTGGCAGTCTTTTCTCACTGTAAAAGTTATTTGGCTAATTGGTTACAGAACAGGACTAGAATTCTGACTTTGTATCAGGAGGATAGGAATGACAGCGTGCACCAAGAGACCACTGCCATGCCCGAGAAGTCACTGTTAATACAAGTTTTAGATCCTTGCACAATCATAAATAAATTAATACACCAAAAAGACAAGTTCATTTAATGGGCTATTTACCTTTTTAATTGTGACATATCCTGCATTAGTATGGGGATCTGTGTCAATCGCCAGTCTTCCCTCCTTGTCCCCCTGTGTAATCCGGTACAGGATTTTAGAACTCCCAGTAAATGGCTCATCGGCATCTGTGGCTTGGATGGTTAGAATGGTAGACCCCACAGCTGTGTCTTCAGAAAAAGTCAGGTTTCCATACTGAGAAGGGAACAGGGGAAGGACACAATGACAATGCCCGGCCATCAAGCACAATTGCCAAAGGGTACACTTGTCTTGGAATGGACAGATCATAGTCTGCGTCAATATGTACCAAGCATATTTTATCTATTTATGAATATGGCGCAGTTGACTTAACATCAATCATAGTCATGAACTAAAATCCCTGGTATAGAGGAACACACATCTCAGAGACCTGCCTAAGAGGACTTCCCCTCACATATCCAATATGTTGAATAGCTACAAATACTATAGTTCAATGATGTAAAAAATAGCTAAAATGTATTATGTATCTATCATGTAAGAAGCATTCCACATAAACTATTTTAATTAATTCATAAATCAAAAATGAATAGAGATTAAGGGCTTGAACTTTAGAGTCAAAGAGCTGGTAGGAGTGCTAACCGTGCCATTTGTCTGTTGTGACTTGAAGCAAAGGACCTCTTTTCTGTAAGTGCCAGTTTAATCATTGGTTAACAGAGATAAAAGAACCTACTTCCTGTTTGCTGTGGGGATTAAGAGAGCTAATGCACGGAGGGCCCTGCGTGTCTGGTCTGTAGTCAGTGCTCAGTAAAGATAAGAAATAAAACACTGTACTGAACAGCTATATTACATACGCTCTCCATTTAACAGGGAAGCAAAGCAGGTGAGGTTAAACTCACCCAGGAAGACACTGTTGGTGAGTCATAGAATTGATATTCAAAGGGGCTGGGGATTTAGCTCAGTGGCCTAAGTGCCTGCCTTACAAGCAGGGAGTTGTGAGTTCGATCCCCGGTACCGGTAAAAACGAAAAAGACAAAAAAAAAAAAAAAGAATTTATATTCGAGCACATATGTGTCCAACTCCAAAGTTGTGCCCCTAATCACTGGCCTAAAGCACCTTCCACTCCCCTGAAAGCCCTCCTCCAGATCATGTGATCGTCACAATGGTCACTGGGCTCAGGCGAGGACCACAGCAGTACACAAGACTGGATTTTGGTTGCTATAGTTTAATTTGTATTTCTAAACTCTGAGATTTGCAAAGCAGGATTCTTATCCTCCATCTAAAAACTTCTGTCTTGATGCAGGGAGACCACAACACTGGTATATGTAAGGATAAAATGCCCAAGAGAAGGAAGGCTGAGAAATGGTGGATTCTTTATTTCACACTTGCTTGGCCTCGGTCCCTGTTACACACCATACATTTATTCACACCTCTTACTGTTCCGAGCCTTACCATAAATCAGTCCCCTCCTTTGTCACAGCCTGGTTTCTATTTTGATTTATGATCATCATCAGAGAGCTTGGGGCTGCCTCATCACTGATTTGAAACATGACAAACCAATCTGGTTAAATGGGCTCTCTCTCCTTCAAACTAAATAAAGCTAGACGTCCCTTCTAAGGGAAGCAGTGAAAAACCCATCACCAAGTCTAAAGCCTGTATTAAAGACAAGAAAACAGTAATTTGCTTTCTTGATGTTCTAAGTTTTTTTCCTTATGTCTAATTCTTCTAATGCTTGCAAATGTCTTGAGTGTATTTTGTCTTCAACTTAAACCAGAGGCTCATTTTTCTTTCCTCTCATCCAATTAATTACAAAATGATTTAAAGTTGCTAATAATCCAAATATTAAATATTTAACTCAAAATGCTCAAGATGTAGCAGTTAAGCCATACACAAAATCTATGACAAACTGTAAGTGGTCCCTCAAATTTGTTCAGTTTGACAAAGATGATGTTGTAGGTTTTAAGCAATCCTTGAAATAAATGCGATGTTGGCAGAAGTTTATAAACACAAATTTCCAAATACTGTAACAGTGAATGCTATTGTCCCCCGAAGGTTTCCACTAAAGATGGCATTTGGGCTTGTTACTGGTTCATGGACCAAAGCTACCTGCTATGTCTGGCATTTTTCTGAACGATTGTCTGGTTTTATGCTCCAGAAGTAGGGGGTTGAGTAATATGAACAAAATAAAGAAAAAACATGGTGAAAACTACTCACATCTGATTTTTCAAAGATGGGAATCTGATCATTGATATCAATAACATTGATTTCTATAGTACAGAGGGTCTTGAAATCTGAAAAGCAAAGTTACATTAGAGAAATTTCACTGTTAAATCACACATTAAAATTAGAAATCTGTAAGGAGAAACCGGCAAGTAAAGTGACAACCATATCACAACTTCACAACAAAAAGTGCCTCTGGGGAGAGGATCCTTTGCTCCCCTCCTGCACTCACAAGCAGGTCACTTAGAGGGAGGTGTGAGATGCAGGCAGATGGGGAAGTGTTCAGGATTCCCCCTCGCCCTGCACCTGCCTTGCCCTTGCCGAGAGAAGGCCCATTCCCTTTTCTGAACCTTACACAGTCATCAAATCCAGGGCAAAACTAACCTTCCAGAAAGCCTTCCTGAACAGCCCCTGGGCTGGGCTTCCTTATTCAAACACATCTGCCCTCAACAGTGCAGAGGCTGGGGGCTCCTTTTCCCTCTCTTCTGAGTAAAGGAGGTAGGGTACTGTTAGCCTCCTTTAAGGGCCACTAAAAAGGTAGCTCATAGAATGGCACAGGCTTTGACCAGTAGGTCTGAGGGTCCAGAGACCAGGAGACACAACTGATCTCAGATCTAACTGAGAATGGAGTGCCTGGAAAGAGAGCCACAACAAGAAACAGATGTCACATTCTTTATTGGGATCGACATCATTCAAGACACAACATGCTATTTGGTACAATGGTTATGAGTATGGGTTCTGAGATCCCATAGGTTGAATCTGGTTCTCCCCTCAGTGAAGGAGTAAGACCTTGAAGTACCACTCAATGTCTCAGTATCTTGGTCAGCTTATTTACAAGATGTGAATAGTAACAGAACTGAGGTTTTGATCATAATACAAACTATCCATGGTGTCTATGTCCCAGGAACTATACTAAGTGTTTAAATAAGAGATCCAAGAAATAGAAAAGTAACCAGCCCAAAGTAACAGCTGTCTAATGGGGTCCAGAATTCAAATCCATGCACTCTTTTTGTCCTCTCGCATCTCCTGTCTGCTCTTCAACCCTCCCTGGGGCCCAGGGGCTGCCCTTATCAACAGCATCAGTAGACTTCTGTGCCCTGTGGGTAAGAGCTGAGTTCTGCCAGTGGGCAGACTGTCAGGAGATTAGAGGAAGGGCAGGAGGAAAGTGGTCAGGGTCCCCTCTCTACTGGCTACTGGCACAGGTCTTGCTCTCCAGGCTTCAGACAGTAAAAGCTGCACACTCTACTCCACACCTCCTTGTTGGGTTTTCCTTGACTCTGCCCGTGGCTGTTACAAATCCTCCTTTGTGTGTTTTTGGAAGTACTGGGCATTGAATTCAGTGTTTTGCACCAAGCTACATCTATAGCTTTTTTTTTTTTTTTTGAAAGTGTTTTACTAAGTCACCCAAACTTGGTTCAAACTCATGATCCCCCTGCTTCTCCTTTTTGTCACCCTTTTGAGAGGGCCATCCAATCTCCTGCTGGGATCCTAATAAACCCATGTAGTCTAACTCAACAGCTTCTGCTCAATGTACCGAACATGATGCAGATGCAATTGAACGATAATTTCACTATAAAGAAGCAGATAGTAATTAAAGTTGTGACTGGTCCCCAGAACATCTGTACATAAGAATGGAGTCACCCCAGGATGTAACAATTAAGTTCAATTGTTAATTTGCTTGACTTGAAAACTGCCTAGGTGATTAGCAAAGGACATTTATGGGGTGCCAGAGTGGTTGTGGAGGCATGACCCTCAGGTCTATATCTGGTCCCTCACCCCTTTTTGTCTGGCTCTGTTCTGCTCAGCTTCCTGGCCAGCATAAAGCAAGCAGCTTTGCCCTACTGCACCTTTCTTCTGTGACATTTTTGCCTTTGAACCTAATTGACCAAGAGCCGAAACCCTAGAAACCATGAGCCAAACTAAGCCTCTCCTCCTATAGGCTGAGGCTGTGTACTGTATCCCAGCAACAGGAAAACGTACCTATACCTAGAACCCAAATTCACTAGCTCGTTTCTCTGCAAATATGTTTTTTGGGTCAGGTGTGGGCTTCTACTTAACAGGCCTTCCTTGATTTTATAGAAAATTATGTTAATTATAGCCAGGTCTCTGATTTTCTGCAGTGGACAACTGAATGCTTAATCCATCAACATACACATATTTATATCTAACTATATTTTATAGTGTGCAAGTAGTGTGTAAGTATAGTATGTTTTCTGTACTCACACACACGAACAATTTGTAATCTGCTTTGCACTTTACAAGCTTTTAACTTCAAACTTCTTCACATCCCAATGTTTTTACATATGGAATTTCCATTCTTCCATTTCAGAAGTCTTACCTGCCCTCTCCTTCCTCTAGGGTCAGGCCTCCACCGCTACCTATTACATTCTTGCAATTTACTAATTCGTATGTCTGTCTTCTCTACAGAGCAAGCACTCCTTGAGGACAGACTCTGGGTCTCATTCATCTGTGTAGCCCTAATACCTTGTTGTGGATGTCAAACGAGGTAAATTCTCAGTAACTGCTTGCTGAAAGAATAGACAGCTAATAATATGAAACTCAGTCCATCATGGACAGACACGATTAATTACTGTACCTCAGTATAATGTGAAAACAAACGTTAGATCCTCAGTATTTGCCAAATTAGAGAATTTCAACATTCTGCACTTGCAGTTTGCTAAAATCTAATTCCCTCAATATATTAACATCCACGGAAGAGAGAGAAATGCGAGGCTCAGTGTGGAAAGGTGCCTTTTACCCCTCCATGCCTATGCAACCTATGCTCTCCAGCACAGCAAACACTGACTTGTTTAGTAACCTATGTTAACTCAATGCTTTCTAACCTCCTAGGAGTCTAAGTGCCCCCAAGTAGGCCTCTCTCTGAATAAGTGTATTTTTGTGTGTCTGTATACATTTATTTAAGATTGTGCAAGTGCATTTGAAAATGCATAGTTTTCATCAGATTCCCAAAAGGTCTTGTGACCCAACAGAGATTAAGAACCAGCTAATTTAGAAGTATGTAAGAAGCAGGGGACAATGTTTCCTAATATTGTCAAAAGGTTGGCTAGAATCTGACAGAAGAAGTCAGACCTTCCCCCCAGGTGCATTTCTCAACTTTCATAGGGAAGGCTGTTTGAGTCTGAAAGCAAGAATTGGGAGATGCAGTTAATGTTCCTGTCTGTGACTGTAGTGACCACCAGAACATGCCAGGCAGACTTGTGACAACTAGGATATTAATTGATGATGTCCCCTCCCATGCTGTGCTATGAAATTCAACATTGGAATTGCACGTAGGCTTCCTTTCCATGGGCTGCCCCAAGCTATTACATAGGGTGGTAATGCTAAAGTGCACCCATTCTTGGAGGTGGGGTATTCCCAGACAGCTACAGTGAGCTTGCCTTAGACTCTTTGGTGGTCTAGGACACTCTTTTCTCCTCTCTCCTTCCTCTAGGGTCAGGCCTGTACTGCAATGTTCATCTCTCCACTTCTCGAGACATCCCCTGGAGATGTACGTTTAATCCCCTCTTGGCCTGTACTTCTTGGAAGCACCAGAAAAACCAGCAATGTGGTCTGAGCTACTACTCTGGAAAGCATGTATTTCATAAAGGAAACAAAGATGGCGGAGTTCTGAACATATCCAGGGTTAAGGAACCCAATGCATCATAATCAGAAGACAAACAATTATTTGTAACCATGACTGCAGGTATGATACCAACCTCTGTCAGATACCTCCACTGTTAAGTTGTACTGAGGAGCATCTTGCTTCTTCAAGGACTGTTTAGCTAACTGGACCTTTCCCTCATACTCTTCAATCAGAAAGAGTCCATCCACAGGACATTCAGGGGTTTGCTGCACAATTTTATAACGTAAGACACTGTGGACGGTGTTTGCTTCATCCAGGTCATAGGCAGTAAAGATCCCAATTCTTTTCCCTATGGAGAAGGAAAAAGAAAATCCATTCCTACAGGCCCCATGTTATCTTAGATTGGTTTCATTCAATAAGCAGATTCCTAGAGAGCACTAAGTAATCTTACATAGCAGACCATGGCTTTCACATTTATTTTTCTCCCCATAGTTTAATTTGTTAACTACTACTGTGTATTCACTATCCATGGCTATCAAACAGTGTCCTGGACTGGTAGTTTAAACAACAGAAATTTATTTCCACATGGTTCTGGAGGCTGGGAGCTGGCAGGCTGGTTTCTTTTGAGGCCTTTTTCCTTTGCTTGGGCAAGTTGTTCTCCCTATGACTTTGTATCATGTTCTCTGTGTCCAAATTTCCTCTTATGAGGAAGACACCAGTTATGTTGGCCCACAGTAAGGACCACATGTTATCTTAATTCCCTCTTGACTCAATCTCCAGATCTAGCCACATTATGAGGTAGGATTAGAACTTTACTGCATGAAGGAGTGGCACAATTCAACCCACACAGAGGGTTCGGACTTCCAAATATAAATTTGAGAGGAATACAATATGGGCCAGAGTGCCCTTCAAAAGTTTTTGGCCACCTAAACCCTCACTATAGAACTTCATTTGGAAAGAGGTTCATAGGGCAGGTAACTAGTTAAGGAGATAGCAATCAAATCATCCTGGTTTAGAGGAGCCCTCACATCTTTATAAGAAGAGGGGATGCTGGAACACACAGAGGCAGAGATGATGTGAAAGAGGCCAGAATTGGAATTATGCTTCTGCCAGCATCCAGTGGAAGCCAAAGAGGACATGGATTCTCCCCCAGGCTCTGGCCTCTGGATTTCAGAGTCTCAGCCTCCAAAACAAGAGACTAATTTGTTGTTGTTGCTTTTATTTTAAGGACCCATGTCTGTGGTGATTCATTATGACAGTCTCAGGACACAAGTACATGTGGTAAATGGTATAATCCAACAAGGAGAAACCCACTCTGGTTTTCTTCCAACCAACTTTATGGAACAACTGCAGAGCCTGATCCCACCCTAAAGACAATGCAGGGCAAATAACAGGCCTGGCCCCCTTCACCCCCGTCCTCGTGCAGTGGCTCGCAGCCCTAAGAACTGTATTCCTGTGGATGTTTCAGTGAAGGAGCTCCAGAAGTCAGGGGGTGACTCTGTTCTGTTAGCTCTGTGTGACTTGAATCCACTGCATTGTGGATGTAGGTTCTGTGCCTGTCCCAGTGAGCTTGCCTCCACTGGCTTAGGTGGAAACTTAGTAGATTTTGGCAAGGAATAGTGGGGAAGGTAAGTACCTGTATTATGTCTACAAGGAAATAGGACTCATATAGCTGTGTCTTGAGGACCTGGTTCAGGGTCCACCCTGAACAACATGATATAAACAATGTGTCCAGCATGTCACTGCTTGTTTCTGAATCCACTGCATCTTAGTTACTTTTGTCACAGGCACATGTCCTTGTATGAAAAGGGTGATTGGTGGAATGAAGAGTGCCCTGCTGAAATCTGCGATCCTTTGGTGTCTGAGTAGCCCTGTTTTGGATGTTTCCCCTTAGCAAGTGGACAAAACAAATAAGGGCACCTTTCCCAACTAAGGGCTTCCAGCCATCAGAGGCACCATGAGGACCACTGACATCAGGGGACACACCCCAGTGGAAGCCAGAGAAATATGTGTGAACCCAAAGTGAAAGAAGTACCACATCGTTAAGGAACAAGTGACAGGCCAAGCTGATTCAAGGAAATGCATAGCATTTCTTGGGGGCATCTCGGAATATTTTAGGGAGATGGGGATGCCACGAGAGTCAAATTTCCTGGAAGTGGGATTCAAGCATTAATGTTGGTATTGTAAGACTTGGATAAAGAAGCCTCATAAGATATTGGATAATACAAGACTAAAGAGAATATAAATAAAATAGGAGTGAGCCAGTATTTTGTTAGCATTTTCATCTCTGCATATCTTGACACGTCATCTAGATAGTAAGCCTCCAAAGTGCAGGGGTTTGTCCTGTCCCTCTTTTAAACCACACATACAGAATGTATTTAATTGCTTTATAAGAATTTTCAGTCCATTAAAGACTTTATGAAGTATTTTTAACAATAAATTCTCACTTTTAAAAGTGAGACTGTAGCACACTGAGCCCCTACATGATTGAGTCTACCAACAATAAGTTATCATTTTCAGAAAACTAGCACCATCTTCTTCCCCAGTGAGATGAGCGGCTTCCAAAATGGTTCCCAACATGCCTCATCTCCCAAGCTTTGTAGCTCTTCATGACCTCTCCCTTTGATCATGGGCTGAGCCTAGTGACTTGATTCTGATAAGTAGAATATGAGCTGACATTTCCAAGATTAGGTCACACAGAGAATGTCACTCACTTATGGTTCATCTTCCCTCCCGCTCCATCTCCTCCTGAGTCTGCATGTGTGTGTATCTGAATCAGAGGCATACAGCTGCAAGGCACCCAGATCCTTGACTCACAAAACTATAATAAATGTTTGTTATTTTAAGCTAAGTTTATGACTAATGTTTTATACAGCACTAGATAACAAACATATTATATGCTTGGCCCAATGCAATAGACTTGAAGTACTATCTAGAAAGGTTTTCAAGGGTTTCACACTTTCACCTAGCATCAGACCATCCCTGATTGCCATAAAGGATGATACCACAAGTGTGTGTTGGCTATTGTTATGCATTGCATTATTATGATGTCACCATGACAACAGTCTTAATTTACCAAACCCTCCAATATATTTTTTATTTAACTCTTCTTGTTGAAGTAAAAATTAGAATAAATGAAACATAAAGGACTTCAGAAAAATATACTGACAATAAGTAGTCTCTGTAGGATACCTGAGAGCACAAAGAAAAACAATGTTCATAGAGCAAGAAAGCTACTGCCAGCACACCCACCAGGCCACCAGGAAAGTAGCTGTCTTGCCAGTGGTGTGTTTCAAGAGTAAAGCAGTCAAAAGAAAACCATGAGAATGTGTGTGAGGAATCAAGGATCTCACCACAAGGGAGCAAAGCCCCAGAGATGACAGTCACAAGAGGCTGCTAAGCTTGTAAGCCTCAGAAATTTACACAGCACAACAGACTGAAACATTTTAAGAAATCCAGCCAGCTTAGTAAATAGAAAATAAGCAAGGGTTTTCCCAAAGTCCAGGAAAGTCATAAGATTCCCGAAATCAGAATGTCCTTACAGTAGCTGTTCCTGTACAGAACCAGAAGTTATAATGAGACACGATTTTTTAAAAAGTAAGAAAGAAAAGACAAAAACAGATGGAGCTTAACCTTATCCACCAGCCTCTTGCATTACTATCAGTTTCCTAGAGACTTGGGAGGTTCAAAGGTCAAATCCAACTCTATCAGCATTGTTTTACTTATTTCAAGGTATCTGACTTGGAGAGTTAGTGTTTATTTTATCTCTTTGAAGTTAGTTTAAGTAGAGGTCAAATAAGATAATTTATGGGAAAGCTCTACCAATGAAATGCCTCTATGTATGTATGCAGGACAATGGTGGGGTGGTTATGCTACCAGTGATAATGGCAAGGTTATAGTAGAGATAACAGAAGCTATAACTAGTCGTGTCAGTAGTTATAAAAGCTCCAATTTAAGAACACTGCCCAGATAATGTTTGAACCAAGAGTCTTCTACCTATATGTTCTCATGGTACATTTGATCTCTGTACTGTGCCAGACATGGACAACTGACCATCTGTAGGCAGAGTGGAGCAAGGAGCTACACAGTTAACACATGGAGGACAGCCACACAGTTTTCACCAGCTCCCATTTCTTACCCAATGCTTCATTCTCCTGGACCTCAAATACAGTCATTGTAGATGGACATGATGGTGGGTTGTCATTAATGTCTTTAACTTTCACTTCAATTTGCAACCAGTATGAAAGTGGATTTCCATACTCATCCTTTGCAACTGCATAAAAAACATACTACAACAGGAAGGTCAGAGTTTGAGACAAGATTCCTTCATTGCCCCCTTAAAATTCAGAGAAAATTGCTGTTTTATTTCTAGGTCTTATTTTCAGTTTACTTGGAACTGGGAAATGAGAAACAGTGGCTCAGACTGGTGGCCACAGATCAAATTATCGAATCTTTGAGATCCGATAATATGGTGGGGTCTGGAACACAGATTTTTTTAAAAAGTAGAATTGATTTTGTTCTCAACATTAAGTACATAATAGATCTTTGTCTTGCCGCCTGTGAAATTCTTCCTGTTTTACTTACCAAATCCTTTTCTTCTCGGTCTAAGGGCTGAGTCACATATATATTTCCTTCCTGGTCAATTGAAAATGGGAATCTTGGAAGCGTCTCCTTTGTAGTTAAGGAATAGTGTGCCCCTGGCTCGTTCCACTGCACCTGCAGGGCCCAGAGCGAACAGTGAGGAAGGACGGACGTGTGCAAGAGACCTGGTTCCCGATGGGAAACACCTTTGAACGTCAGCACTTTCTTATAACTGAGTGACATTTTTCCCTTACAACCTAAAATAAGACATTTTTAAAAACTGTGTTGCTCAAAAAAAGCAAACCAGAGGAATTTTTCTTCTCTAAAGCCATTCTTTATGAACCAACCACCTCCTAAAGACTTTATGGGCTGTTTTCTTTCACAAGCGTGACTATGAAGACTTTATATGAAATGAAGTGTACTTGGTAGCTTGATGTGTGAGAAGCTTCTAAAACTTACCGGTGCAGATGAGTAAGAGCAGTAGGAGCCACTTCCAACTCTTCTCCATGTGATTAAGGAAAGATAAGTGCTATATAAATAAGGCACAGTCCTCCCTAAACATTCTTATGGTCTCCAGGGAAAAGAGTAACTGAAAACTCCTGAAGTCATTTTCAAATAAACCTAATTTTAAAAAAAACAAATAAACCCCATAATAAGACCAGCTAAATTTTTGGACAGAACCTGGCTTCTCTGATATCCTAAAGTATTAATAGTTTATATTTTACATTGTTTTAATGATACTCAAGAAGGAATTATTAGATGTCATGCACAATTCTAAATACTTTTATTAATTATCTCACTTAATCTTCAGTCTTATGAAATAGAAGCTACTGACAGCTCAATTTTATAGACAAAGAAACTAGACTGCAAAAACTTAAATGACTTGTCCAAGATCCTAGAGTTAGTTGAAACTTCACAGGAAACCATTCTCCTGGACTAGGTGGAAACTTTGTCCCTTGCCAGTTATGTAAGCACTACCCAAGTCCACACTTGGGGTCGTGTCCCTCATTCTAACGTGAGCTCATCCTATGTCCTAAAATTCAGTCCACACTCTTACTCCCTAAGCTGTGCTGTCTTCACGGGTTTCAGAACACCCAAAGCACTTTCTCCAGGCCTCAGAACTAGGTGTGGGTCCCTAGGATTTCTTCCCTTTAATAAGAACTAAGCATATGAGTTCTAACATGTATGGATCTCTATATGATAATCTGGGTAATCAACAGAAAAGCTTTAATCCAGCATCTAAATTTAAAACCCTCATGGTAATGTATACTGGCATGCTATCTCAGTTTCCAAAGCAAAATCTCTCTTTCATTCTTTTTCTTGCGTAAATGTAATATTCATTAATTCAACATTCATTAAAGTCCCATTAGGTCAGACAATACATATAACAGGATGAGCCACTCAGGGACCTTTAGCAACAATAGCATCATGTTTTTAAATATCTTAGGGAACTACAATCTGCGTTCTTTTTAAAATTAACTTTTATTCACTTTCACAGATACTATGTCAATGACTTGTCACCATAACTCTGAAAAGTCAGAGTTTCCATTTTATGAATGAGATATTGGGGCTCAGAACAATTATACAGCTTATCATCAGTCATTAAAGTAATGGGAACTTGGTTTTGGTTGTTTGCTTCCAAATCCAGGTTCTCAACCTTCTTCACAGTGTTCATGTTACAAAGAAACCTTCTGGGTTTTCAGAGAAGACCAGATGTTGGGAGGATCCAGGCTGCATTTCTAGGAGCTAAGCTGGGAAGATCCCCTGTGAGAGCACCCTCTATGGAGGGGACAGAAGGCCACTTGGATGAAGAGGAGACGTGCAAACCGGAGACGAGGGAGTACACTCTCCAGATAGCATGAGCCCACTGGTGTAGACCTCCCCATGCCTGCCAAGATCTAGCAGCAGGTTTTTAAAAATATTTGCAACCCTAAATTCAAGCCACGCGTATGATGTGTTACCATAGATGCCTCACTAAAGCAGCTGTGTCCCTCACACTGACAACAGACTACAAACGTCCCCTCATGTCTACTTTTAAGGTGAGTGTGGGAGAAATTCTTTCTGAAAGTTCAAATATACATCTGAATCCAAGTTTTTCTCATGATGATGAACTCCAGAGACTTAGGGTCAGAGATTGCTTCATTTGCTTTCTAATTATATGACACAAACACATTTGTGAAGAACATGAGATAAGTGAGGCCACTTATCTAGTAGGTTCTAGGTGCCACTTGGGTACTACCTGAGTGATTTTCACTGGGTTAGGATCCGTTGAGTTTTCTACAATCTCCATAGGGTCTGGTGCTTTCCAAATGTTCTCCTTCACTGTAATATCCACTGAAACAGTATCACTGAAGGAATTCTCACTCTGACCTCCCATGTCCTTCACTGAGACCACCAGGTTGTAGGATGGATTCTTCACAGGATCCAGTTCCTTAGCCCCTGTGGGACACACAGGAGAAAGGAAATGTCACTGCAAGTGACAGGCCTGTTTCTTGCTCTGGCCCAGTTTCATGTGGACCCTTTAACTCACCTTGTCGGGTGAGTGATATTCCTCCTGTTTTGTTGTCGACCTGAAAGTACATAACATCATCGATCTTGGGGAGCTGAATGACAATTTGATAAAAAAGCTGGCCATTAAGAGTGGTTGGATCATCCAGATCTGTAGCACTGACATACATGAAAGGTCTCCCTGTTCAACAAAACATACAAATAAAAAAACAGAAAACAAACAAATAAAAAAAAAAGATAGTTGAAAACCAAACCAACTGTAACCATTTTTGCCTTCCAGGAAGCAGAGCTCCAATCGGGGAAGATGCCATGGATTCACATCAGTAAGAAATAAATCCTTACTGTTCTCTTCTCCCCTGGAGTACAGTTTCTAAGTGTGGTCAAAAGACCTCTCAGGGACTCAGTCTACTTCAAGGTGTCTATGAAGTGCACATACATAGAAGATTCCTTCAAAGCACAAGATAATTCAGTGAAGTTTAGTGTTAAGGAATAATAAATATGTTATTGATGTGGTTTCCAATTCTGCACTGCAATGAATGTTGAAGAAACTATCACTTGTTAAATTTTGGTATCATATCAGAAGACTCTACAATCTGAAAATACTATTAAAACGTTCCTTTCTTTTTCAACTAGGTATCTGTGCGTGAGACTGATTTTTACTAGAGAACTATTTCAGCCAAAACAGCACATGGCTGTGGAATAAATGTAGAGACAGAAATAACAATTGTTTTCCCTTAATCCAGACATCAAATTTGCAAAGATTAAGAAGATGGCTCTCTTTTCAGCACTGCCACTTTTACTAAATTACTTTTGTCTTGAAAATATAGTTTTCATTATGATATTTCTTTGTGTTTTTACATGATTTAGTAAGTTTTTTAAAAATTTTGAACACTGTAAATAGTAATAGATATAACCAGCAATGGACTGAAGTCAGCTAGTGAGAATCAATTCTGAATTTTAAGAAGTTTTATGAGTAAATTATTAATATCATTGGCAGCTTGAAATAAGCGTGATGAGAGTTTTTATATGATGGAAATTCACAAATGCCATGAATTAGGGCTCTGCCTCATGGTAAAAAAACAAACAAAAAACACTGTTAAACACTGCCCAGAATATCACTGGCTATAACTCATGTGATTAAAATTTCACTGAAGCACTCAAAAACAATTTGAAGAGTCCTGAAGCCAATAAGTTTACGAGCCAGTTCTCTAGTAGATTCTATTGGTGAAGAGGGGGGAAGTACAGCCTGGAGGATTTTTGTGTAGCAGAGTCTACGAGTGAGAGTCTTTGGTGTGCAGTCACAGGGACAGCAGAACTGTTCCACGTAATAAAGGGGAAGGAATATTGCTTCTTGACTCACTAGTGATGGGCACTGAAGAATGGGAAAAGGAAATGATTGAGTATCATAGAGGAATATTTGATGGTGAGTTGATGTGCATAGGTAAGAGTCTTTTGGGGAACTTAAAAGTCTAATTTTTATTTTTGTTCTGTGTGGTTATGACGTGATACTCATCAGAGGTGCCTACCACATACACTTATGCCTTGATGAAGGGCTTTTGTAGAGACAAAGGGTAGAAAGTTAGTGTACCATAAAGGACCAGCCATGGCTGAGAGATGAATATAAGAGAAGAAAACAAACAGGAACTAGCAGTGACTGTGATAACGTAGGTTCCTGCCTGGATTGGGAAAGTGGCTTCACCTTTCTGGATGGTTCTAGGGTATTCTAGAGCTCTAGGGTTTTTAAAGTTAACCACAGAACAATGATGCCTCCACTCCCACTTGACAGTGACTAGAGACTTTTTTATTGTCACAGCTCAGGGCAAGGGTATCACTGGCATCTATAAATAGAGGTCAGAGATGCTGTTAAATATCCTACAATGCACAAGACAGGCCTTGACAAAAACACAATCATCAGGCCCAAGATAGAAACAGTACCAAGGATGAGAAATGCTGTTCTACAGCAGTAGAGATAATAAAGCAACTCCCAGAAGATCACCAGAATTTAAGCTAGTAAATGTTTAATAAGCAATAACCTCAGCTAAATCCGGCTACTCTGCCTGAGAGCCTTCCATCTCTCCATGACCACCTCCAGGCCCTGCTCTCACCTGGGCGAGAGTTCTGCCTCACCGAGCCTTCATACTTTCGCTCAGAAAACATGGGACGATTATCATTGATGTCCTTCACTTCTATGGTGATGGGGACTGGACCCTCCACCGTCATTCCTTGAGCATCCAGGGCTGTGATCTGATGGTGAGGGAAAACAAACCACTCTGGTGAGACCAGACTTCATACCACATACTGAGAAGTCACTTGAAGGAAATCAGAGTTCAAAGAACCAACATCCTAATGGCTGGAGAAGAGGAACCCACAAGAGACCACATTGGGAACTGTTAAATAGGCATCCAGTCTTTCGGTCTGCTCAGTATGGCAGTAGCTTTTCCACAGTGCTGGACACTGACCATGCTTCTGTTTTAAATGGCTGGAGGTGGAGAAGCGAGAGCACTTTGTCATTTGAGGGGTCCTGTGTGTCACAGAACTGTGATGGATTAGCCTGCAGAAGATGCTGGACAGGAAGCTGTTGGTTTCCATTCTTTAGCATGAGCTCTCTGCCATTCTTAGACATTCAGACATCACCCACAAAACTATAGGGTTTTGTAGTCAGCCCCTGGCCTTTGGTTCCTTCTGCTCCTTCCAAGGCCCAAAAGAGCTCCATCCTCGCACTGACACTGACTTCAGTAAGGTCTAGAGCCCACTTAACAGCCACAGGCAGATGGCAGAAAATCATCAATGAGGCAATGGCTTGATTTGGGTTCTGGTGCCTGAACTGGGCTTTATTTGAATGAGTAAGGCCATCTGAGGGTCTTGGTACTATAAATTGGCTTACTTTGGTAAAAAAAAAAAAAATTCTAAGGAAGAGGGTATCTTTGCTATATGCTTCTCTGCAGTTGGTAAAAAAATGTTCACAAGAGGTTTACAAAGTTAACATTAGGAGAGCTGAAATGGGGTGCAGGGAAAGTACCAATGAGGCTTGTAGGGCCCAGGGTGCTGCAGAGGTTGGAGTCGAATCCCTTTGTCTGGTCTTGACTCACCTCCAGATGGTGAACGGCTCTTGTTTCCCTGTCCAGAGCGCTGATGGAATACAGAAGTCCATTGGATTCTATCTTAATTATACCATCTGTCTCCCCATTTAGTACAAAAGTCACAGCAGGAGGATTGGCCTGAAACTGGAAAAAGAAAACAAAATTGAAAAATAAAAGAAAATATTTTTTAAGGATTAGGTCTTAAGGAATAATAATGCTGTGGATTTTGTACAGTCACCAATATCAAGCTTTGTTTCTATTTGTGCAATCACTAAAATAAGAAATCTGAGTCCTTTAAGTGGTACATTCTATAAGTATGCCTGTGCCTTGTTTTAGCAATATTCAAAATACATTTTCCTCAAGAGACAATGTACAATTCAGGACATTGATAAAAGCCATTAACACTTTCCATTGTAGCTGGGGTTAAAGGGAAGTTTCTTGGAATATCTGAAAACTACTCAAAAAGTATCTCAAAAACATTAAAAAGAGTAGCTTTATTGCTAGAATAAAAGATTGCTATGGAATACTTCCAAAAACTAACGAAGATTAAGAATATTAAGGAAAACAATTTATAAATGGCTTCAACCTAATGCTATGTTATATAATAATCTCTCATTTACTTTTTCAGAAGTAAAAAATATCAACCACTATTTGTGGAATAACTATAGCACCTATAGAGTCAGTAAAAAATAAAACTCTATATGACACTAGTAACACAAAAGTTCAATCTTCTTAATAATTTTAAATTTTTATTAATAATTTTATTTAAATTTTTATTCATATTAATAAATTGAAAAATAATAAGGCCAATGTTAGTAAGGATGTAAGGAAATATAATTCATATAATCCTTTTGGAATAAGGAATACAATGTAGCCTTGGTAGTAAACATTACAGAGTTTGCCTTTTAAAAATTTAATTCAGCAAACTACATGTTTGTAGAATAAGACACATTTATCAGATTGATACAGTTGAAAACTCCTAAATTTTTATAATATATTTAAATTATTATAGCATACAAACTTGATAGAAGATTAATCATTAAAGGGTTCATTATATAGAGATATAAGAAACAATGATATAATACAAATTTTAAAAGAATATATATAAGGTAAATCTAGGTTGTTTGTAACAGTATGAAAAATGTGCATGCCAATAGGCAAGAAATGGGATTTCTTCAGATGTTAAGAGATGATAAGTTGTTAAATGAGTCATTCTAAGGGTGAGAAGAGGGTTTTTGTTGTTGTTGTTCATGTTTGTTTATTATTGTTTTGTTGTTTATATAAAAGAGTTGCCATTTATGTTTTAACCACTTACCAGTTCAATTATTTAAATACAAGATGACCAAATTTTCATATTTTTTGTTAATTTTTATAATATAACAAGAAATACAAAATGATAGTTTTATCAAATTTATTTGATACAAGAATCAACTAGTTGATCTGACACCTACCTGCCTGATACTCGGGATAGTCAGTACCTAAACAAATGCACTGCCTGAGTGACACTCAGAGTGAACAGTTATGTAGTTAAGAAAAAAAAATTCAGAACCCAGTGGGAAAAGAGAAAGACTTTCTCCTCCATAAAAGCAAGGAACACTGAAAAAGGTATAAATATTAACATTTTCAGAATCTCAGGAATTAACTAAATGCCAGGTCATTTAATAAAAACAAATGTGACCATCAGTAAGAACCAAGCTTTGAGGTGTTTTTAACTTGCCTAATGCCATTGTTCTTTGCCAAAATCTGAAGTAGCCTTAGAAACCAACAGCATCACAAGCACAGTCCTACAGAGGGAACTTAGCTTGGAGCTTCCCAAAAACCCATTACCAGAGAACCATCATTATCTGGTCTGTCATTTCCCAGGAAATACTTAGAAGGACTAGACTTCATTTAGACTGACTCAGAGCCCACTCACTATAATTTTATTCCTGCAGCATGTGTTGAAGAAAATCATCAGCAACTGTTTAGCATTGCAGACCTGTGATGACAATACCTGAAGCAAATAAATGCTGAACAAAAGACTTTTAAAGCAAAAATTAGGGAGTAAACCTTCCATAGGAGATTTTGGAAATTACTAGAATCTAGAAGGCCACATTGATGGGCAGGGCTACTTTAAGGTTCTGCGCAAGCAGGAAGTGAAGGCTAAGGCAGAGCTGTAAACTCCCTGCCATATAGATGAAAGTGTGCTTTATGGTTAGCAGAACAGCATGGAAAAGGTGGGGACATTTATTGGTTTAAGGCACCTAAGTAATCTTTGTCTGGTCATTACTCAAGCACTAAGTAACTGAGCAGAGACTCCAGTGACTACACATGACAAAGAATACAGACTTTAAAGAATGAGTTTATAAAAGTTACTGAATAAATAGTAACCAGCCCTGGGAAAAGGAGGAAATGATTTTAAAGTTGCTACACTATATTGTTTGGAATGTCCATTTTTCAAGAAATCATTATGAAATACACAAATAAATAAGAATGCTAAGCCCCATACCCAAGAGCAAAAAATCATTCTGTAGAAGTAGTTCCTGAGGAAGCCTAAAGGTGACTTACTAAGGATTTTAAATTATCTATTTTAAATAAGCTCAAAACTAAAAGAAATCATCTCTAGAGAATAGAAAGGATGAAAATAATGTCTCACTAAAGAGAAAATACTGAAAAGGAACTTTATTTTTTAAACAACAAATTCAGAAGCTGACCAGTATGTTAACTGAAATGGAAAATTTTTCAAGTGAGCTTGAAAGCAGATATGAGCTAGAAAAATCAGTGAACGTGAAACTAGATTTATTGATATTATTCACCTTAAAATACAGAAAGAAAAAATAAAATGAGTAACACTTTAGAGACTGCAGGAACACCATAAAGCAAATACACACATGCATACTAAGAGACCCAGGAGTACAGGAAAAACTAAATGAGAAGAAACACTACTTGAAGACAGACAAAAACTTTTGGGGAAACAAAAATCTGCGCATCCAAAAAAATCAATGAACTTCAAACATGTGAAACTGAGAGATCAAATCCTATACACATTGTAATCAAATATTTGAAAAGCAAAGAGAACCTTAAAAGCAGCAAAAAAATCTTAAAGCCGCAGAGACTCATCACATACTAGGGCTTGTTAGTCACATTAATATCTGATTTCTCAATGAAGCTAGAAGGCAACAAATTCCAAGTGCCAAAAGAGAAAAGCTTCCAAGTAAGAGCTGTAAATCCAACAAAACTATCTTTCAAAATGAGAATGAAATTAACTATACTACTATCAGATAAAACAAACTTTAGGACAAGATTGTTACTGACAAAAATAACACTCTGTAATGATGCAGGATCAATATTGCAGGAAATGTAACAATTGTGCATGTGCCTAGCAATAGATTCCAAAGTACACGAGAGACTGACAGAGTTGAAGGGAACACACCAATTCAACAGTAACTTTCAATAATGTACAGAACAGAGAATCACCAAGGAAATACAAGACTTCAAAAACACTATAAACCAAACAGAATCTTACAGCCATCAACAGAATATTCCATCCAACAAAAGCCAATTATGGGAAAATCCTCCAGTGTAGAATTTATGTGAGGCCATAAACAAGTCTCAATAAATTTAAAAGGCCTGGAATCATATGAAATATGTCCTCTTACACAATGTATTGAAATTAAAAACCAGTAATAGGATGAAAATTGAGTAACACACAAATATATGGAAATAATTATGCTCTACTAACCAACAGGTCAAAGAAGAAATTCCAATGTAAATTTAGAAAATAATGATATAAATGAAAATAAAAATAACATACATATATGATACAGATAAAGCAGTACTAAAAGATCTAAAGATATAAATGCTTATATTTATAAAGAAGAATCTCAAAACAGTAAGTTAGTATTTCACTTTAAGAAAGTAGACAAAGAGCGGGCACGGCAGTGCGTGCCTGTAATCGCCACATTTGGGACGCTGACGCAGAACGATCACTGAGTTCAAGGCCAACCTGGGCTATGTCATGAGCTCACAACAAATTACACAGCAAAACCCTGTCTCAAAACAAATAAATAAACAAAAAGGAAGGAAAAGAAAACAGAAAAGAGAAAAGAAATAGAACAAGAAGCATAAATCATCCCCAAACAACCAAAAGAAAGTAGTAAGATTAGCGTGGAAGTTAGAATATATAACATGAAAGAAAGGAGAAAAATCAACAAAGCTAAGGTGGATTCTTTGAAAAGATCAACACAGCTGACAAATTATCAGCTCTCTTGACCAAGATAAAAGTTATGACTCAAGAAAAATCAGGAAACTAATAGAGCATATAACTCCTATTCTTTCAGAAATAAAAACACTTAAGAGAATATTATGAGCAATTATTTTCCCACAAACTAGACAATCAAGGAAAATGGGTAAATTCCTGGACAGGCAAAAATGTAAAAACTGACTCACAAGTAAGTTTTTAAAATGAATAGAACTACAACAAGAAAAGAATGTGAACTAGCAATCCAAAAAAATCTCACAAAGAAAAGGTTAGGATCAGAGGGCTTCATTGGTAAATTGTACCTAACATGTAATAGGTAATTAACATTATACCTTCCCAAATTCCTCTAAAAACTAGAAGACTAAGGAACACTTCTCAAATCATTTTTAGCCCAGTATTATCCTGATAACCAAATCAGAAAATAACAATTTCAGACCAATATCTTTTATGAATACAGGCACAAAATTTCAGTGAAATTCTAGCAAAGTGAATCTAGCAACATAAAAAGAATCACCAAGTGGAATTTACCTCAGAATGCAGGAGTGGTTCAAGATACGAAAATCAATTAATATTCTTTATCAATAGAACAAAGGACAAAAACCACATGAGTATCTCAATAGAGGCAGAAAATTATATGAAAAATCCAACATCCTTTCATAATAAAAATAGTCAGCACACTAGGAATATAATGTAACTGCTAAAGCTGATAAATGACATCTACAAAAATTCAGTTAATGTCATATTTATTGGTGAAAGACTGAAATCTTTACCCTTAACAAAGAACAAAACAAGGATGCCCAGTCTTGCCAGTTCTGCTGAACTTTGTATTGGAGATCCTAGCAAGAAGAATTTTATCAAGAAAAACAAACAAAAGTTAGTTTAGTTTTTTGGAAGAAAAAACTAA